AGACCTACGTGACTTGCATCAGTATCTGTCTCGGCGAATTTATCGAAATGGGAAAGTAACGGAGGCGTCTGGAGGCGCTGTTTCAATTCCCGAAAGGCATCTTTCTGCGGTATTTCCCACTTGAAGTTCCTGTCGGCCCTAGTGAGGTTAGTGAGTGGATCGGCGATGCTGGCAAAGTTTTTGACGAGCCGCCTGTAATAGGCACAGAAGTCGAGAGATCGGCGTACTGCCTTCTTGTCTGTGGGCGGCGGGAAGTCAGTGATGGCAGCTGTTTTCTGCGGATCGGGACGGACTCTAGACTTGATAATCACGTGTTTCTGGAGCAAGAGCTCCTCGTACGCAAATCTGCACTTTTCTGGCTTCAGGGTGAGCCCGAACGTCTTGATGGCTTGAAGTACAGCTTCAAAGTGCCAAAGGTGCTCGTCGAAACTCGATAAAAACACAACGACGTTGTCCAAATACACAAGGCAAGTGTGCCACTTCAATTTTGCCAGTACTGTATCCACAACGCATTGAAAAGTAGCCTGTGGCGAGCAAAGACCAAAGGGGCATCACCTTAAACTCGAAGAGGCCGTCTGGCGATTTCGGAGCGCCGACTGAAATAATGACACTGGAGTGAGGTGCAATGGTGACCTGTTCTTCAAGTACATTCAAGGCATGGTTCCTTGATGGCGTGAGCGGTAGTAGTGATTTTTCTGTGGATAACGTTATCGACGTTGTTCTGAGGTTGAAGACTGCACCATGGACGCATAAGTCCATGCCAAGGATGACATATGACATCTCTCGAGTACCGCTGTATGACTACGAAGTCTGTGGGATATGTACGGCCGTTATTGGTGACTCTCGCTGCGCAGATTCCAGCCGGTGTCACTAGATCACCTCCGGCTGTGCAAACTTCAGGGCCTTCCCAAGCTGTCCTAACTTTCTTCAACTTCGTGGCGACCGACCCCCTGATGATGGAATAGTCGGCTCCAGTATCAACGAGAGCGGTCATACTGTGACCGTCGATAAGAACGTCGAGGTCGCTAGTTCGCCGTCTCGCGTTGCAGTTAGCGCGTGGCGTCGGGTCACGGTTGCGTCGGCTTGATCCGCTGCTTCCACGTTGCGTCGTCAGGTCACCTTAGGTAAGAGAGATTTCGTCGTCAGCACTTTGCCTGGTTGGCGTCGTCGTTGTCAAAGTATCTTTGGTAGTTCGTCGCACAGCGATCGCAGCTCCATCGGTTGCTGCCCTTAGTTTCCTGGAGACGGGCTAGGAGACCGGCTCCGCGCTCGGGCAGAGTACTGCCGGTGGTGCGGTGACATGCAGGGGCTGGGCGACGGTGAACGGGAAGAACTTTGTGGTGTCCATTGCGTTCCTGCCAGGTAGTCGGCGATGTCACGTGGCCATTCCCCTGGCTGCAGACGTGGTGGCATTGACGGCGAAGCCACGCAGTCCTATGTGTCCATACTGGCAGCGGCGCTAAGTGTGGCCAGCTTCTCCGCAGTGGTAGCAGAGTAGGCGACTTGCAAGACTGTAGCTGCAGCAATGCAGCAATAGCCAGCAGCAATGCAGCAAAAAAGTTGTAAAAAGAAAAAAAGACAAATCGTGCTATCTGCCACCTCCCGTCAGAAGAAACTGAATCTTCAGTATCGGTTCGGTCTTTTTCAATTTGTTTACCTAATTTTACAGCTAGTTATCAAGCGGAATCACTTGCAATTTTGCATTACGGAGATTGCCTCACGCACAACCGCGCGGATATTCTCGCACAGATCATCGGCTCTGTGGGCTTGAACGTCGGCGTAGTCTGTTGTCATTGAGCATTGGTGACACTACCATGTCCGCATCTCGAGCGCTTTTTCTATAGTTGTACCTTCCGCGAGGAACTCGGTAATCGTCGTAGGTGAATTGCGGGAAAGCTTTGCGAAGAGTTCTTGTTTAACACATCGCATGAGCAGCCAAACGTTTTTGCCTTCGACCATGTCTGCAACGGCAAGTCAGAACAGTCGGGTCATCTCTCCCATAAAGATTGCAACTTCTTCATTTGGGAGCTACACCAGTGTTTCCAGCAAAGAAGCAGCCCTCTCTTTGCGGATGATACTCGGGAAAGTGTGCAGGAATGCACTGTGGAAATCGTCCCAGGTTTGGAGTGAAAACTCTTGTTTTTGAAACAATGTTTTTGCCGAGTCTTTCAAGTAAAAGTAGGCATGTCGCAGCTTGTCCTCAGTGCTTGAGTTGTTAAACTTGCAAGACTGTAGCTGCAGCAATGCAGCAATAGCCAGCAGCAATGCAGCAAAAAAGTTGTAAAAAGAAAAAAAGACAAATCGTGCTATCTGCCACCTCCCGTCAGAAGAAACTGAATCTTCAGTATCGGTTCGGTCTTTTTCAATTTGTTTACCTAATTTTACAGCTAGTTATCAAGCGGAATCACTTGCAATTTTCTTTGCATTACGGATATTGCCTCAATCAATAACAGGTGCTATAATTTTTTCAGACTGCCTGTTGGTGTTTAGTTTATTAACCGCGCCTAATAAGACCAATGCTTCAAAGTAATTTAGGCATTTTGCCCCAACATATTTACAACTCATTCGCTTGGTGTGTATACCAAAACATAAAGGTTTAATCCTCAATGAATATCCAGACGCACTCGCAGTGGCCTCACATATTTATACCATAATTTGCATAGTGCCGACGCTAGGATTTATCTTCGTGGCATGCTTTGAAATATTTGTCATATCATATCAAAATTTCGAAAACTTTTGCTTGGCAACGTCTGATTTTTCTCATCTTAAGTAGCCCTCGAATAATCGATGGTGCTCTTCTAGAATGGTGGTTATATCAATTACGAGACTACGATGCCGAGTTATCCTTCTCTATAGCTGTAAGAGCTACAGTTAATTTTTGTTATCATTGTAATGGTGAGCCATTCTTCTTACTAAAGCACATTTTGCGCTGAAAAGCCTAAAGTTCATTTATTGCTAAGTTTTACTTCAGGTACCCAGTTATCCCTCGATAATGGCTATTAGACGTCGCATTACAAAAGAGCATTTTCTCACACATCAATTATTTTGCTTCAACATATTGCCTATTGGCTTAACTGAATACTGGCTGAAATCTATAATTCTAGAAGCTGTGGTTGCGATAAAAAATCCAAAACACAAGTTTTCAGGTAATCGCTTTTAAAGTTGAAAACCTGCATTATTTTGAAAAGTACGAGATAACTGCAAATCGACGAACCCAGTACAGACACCAGCCAGATACCAATCACCAATATATTTTTTTTTCTTTTTGTGTTGAAACGTCTTGCCTGCTGAGCATTCTTTTTCGCCTGAAAGCACCGTCGACGCAGGTCAAGGGTGCGCAGGCCCTGCGCTGTGCAGTGCTCTGGCGAAATTTCAAAAACGACACGTGCTATACTGCCATTTATAAAAGTCAGCACAGCATGAAGAATGCATATTTATAGTGTTTCGTGCCCGAGAAAAACGTTAGTTTGAGTCTCGCTCCCACTCGACAATCCAACGAATTGTTAGGGTAATGAGTTTTCCTATGGAGGCATTAGCATGTATTTATGAACGAGCTAGTTCCAGGAAATTTGGCTAAACAACCCTCATAGCACATGGGGTAAGGTGTTCTTTTGAAGTAATGGTTGGCCATTCAACTGGGCCTTGTTGAAGTTACACCAAGTTTAGACGTTCTTTAAGCAAAGGGTGTGAGATTGCTTTGTATTGTTTGGTGCCATGTGAAAATAGGTGCACCGGACAGCTTTTCGCATGTACTCCAAGCTGGCTCCATTTATTTGATGACTAAATGATAATAGTTGTGGAGCTTGCAATTGATGGCACCGCTATGACGTCCCCTACCAAATAAGAATTTCCCAACAGAAAGCTCGGTGCCTCGGCATTCTTTGCTGTTCAAAGTTCTGGGCCAATTCTTTTTTGAATTGGCCAAATGCAATCCAGCTTGCGAACTGTAACTAATTCATATAGCAATGATGCTTGAACTGCAAGGAATCTGTTGCTACGTGAGACTGGAGGCATGGCGTGCCACCACACAAGTTGTAAAATATGTTATTTAGAGAGGAACACGTTGTACTAAGACAACCAAACGACTGATTCTGGTTCAGAAAAGGCTGAAGATTTCTAATAACGTTAGAAATATGATTTTTTTGTTATTTTTGTTAATCACGAAGCGGTTACAGTATAATGGGTGCTTGGCAGGCGGGTGTAACGCGAAACTTTTGGCTGTAGAACGTACTTTCTACGCTTTACCGTAATATCGCAGCTTCCCCACTGTTTCATTTTCTCCCGCGAACAGGGCCGTGATCCAAAAGGAGCGATGTCAGCGCCAGTAAAACTCGGTGGCACGTTATTCTGCGGTGGTTTATCGACGTAGAGCACTACGTCGTATTATATAGGGCGGCCGTTTGGAAAGACGTGCCAGTTCGTCTACTCAGTAACTTAAGCATTCATTGTACTGGGCATTTGATAATTATCGAATGGGTTTCCGGAGAATGTGTTGTCAGACGCAAAGCTACTAATGAAGTAAGATAATTGAAACACGAGTTTTCCTACAGATAAAGCTCAATTATTTTCACTGCTCTTTCATTTCAACCAGGTTGCAAAAGAAACAAGAGCCCAGGGTGTTGCAGAACAAAATGGCACATTTGTTATATTTATTTTGTTCTAGCTAAGCCACCATCTGCAATGCTTGACGCCAGTTCAGTTAGAAGTTTTAGATGACCGACTTCAGCGCAACAACATTTCATAAGAATGTTAGGAAACGTGCTTTCATGCACTCCATAAGGAGAGCGTCTTCTGCTATCCGGTTGAATGTGCTTATATCATTTCCTACATAGAAGTAGGTTAAACTAGGTTTGCGAGCACGTCTTCTTTTACCCATGCCTTTTCAATATTCAAAATTTACCTCAAGAGAAACGAATAGATACGTTCATGAAATGTGCTGGCTTATTGGGAGCTGCGTTCACCCAGCTTCATTTTATAAATTCAACTCCTTTTTATTACAGGGACGCTCTTGTGACAAGTATAATCAACTGCCTGACAAGTTTCCTGGCTGGCTTTGTCATATTTTCGGTCCTCGGCTATATGGCCCACGTGCTGCAGAAGGATATCGAGGACGTTGCCACCGATGGTAAGACACTGCTGCGAAATTTGTTTGCACAAGCTATTCAACGGTTAAGTAGACCTGAATGGCAGAAGTCGTGAAATAAATCTTCGTCTGACAGGTACTCACTTAAAGCATACGTGACACAGGGCCTGAAATAGTACATGCTAAGTTGCACTGCTACATTTGGTGCGGAACATTTAAGCCTTGGTAGCAATTGCACACATGCAGGGAAACAACTTTTATCTCTGAAATTTAATGATGCAGCCCTAATACTCAATGTCGAAGCGTACTGCCTAATGAATGCTCGTCGACTTAAGACGTTCTGTAAACATGAAGAGGCATCAGGGATTAGGTACATCTTCACACCAATATCTTTATCGTTAAATTTGTTGGCAGAAACCCGTTACAAACATAGGTGGCGTAGTCACGTCGGCTCAGTTCCCTCTCGTTGGCTCATGTCTCTCAGATGGCTCAGCTTCTTCTCACGATGGTATCATCGTTTGCGAAATTACGTTTGCTGTTAAGGATGTTTGATGGTTTTACCCAGGTTTCTACTGATTCAAGCAGCCCAACTGATCGAAATCAAGCTCTGTGGATGTACCTCAAATCTTCAACGGTAAATTTGGTAGTCGCGAGCTTGACAACACTTGACAACCGGACCACTTCGCTTACCGCAATGAAGTCGTTCGTGCCTGAGCGAATTCCCCGCCAGGTCTCCTTCCTGGCTTTCGCTCCATGGCAACATATGAAAAAACTGTCAGCTACACTTCTGCATCCAATCTGCAGAGCGATTCAGCAGGAAATTCAGATGGTCATTCCTAAATATCACCAGCCACCTCTAGTAGCTGCGCCACTAAGTATCTGTCCGTCAATTTGTCTATCGGTCCGTGCATCCGTTCGCCTTTCTATATTTATTTGCGTTTGTCTGTCTGTCGCCCGTCTGTCTGCCCATCTGTCTGTCCTATCTGTCCGCATGTACGTTTGTCTGAATGTCCATCCGTTCGCCCGTCCATCTAGTGAACAGTATATGTACCGATATCTCGCATCTTCTTATCATTTATTCGTCATAAAGAAGTACCGCCATCCAGCCGAAATTCCAAGGAATCTAACGAGAGGTGCCTACTCTAACGAGAGGGACTCTAACGAGAGAGACACGCACAACCAACGCCTTCACGAACTTCGCCCCTGAATACCTACTGCTTGCACTGCGCAACCATTCACTGGCTACCCCGTATAAGTAGGCACTGAGTCATGCGTTCGGAATTCATTCAAGGGCATCTTTACGTGGCTTTTCGCTTGATTTGACGCTTAGCATGAATTGAGTAGATGTGATAGAAGCAACAGTACCTTCAACCATTAGGGGCTGTGATGGTTAACGGACGTTCGTCACTATGTTTGTCGATAGCGGACGAGAAAGGATTAACATCAACGATTGATGCGAACAAAAGAAGCTTTATATTGCACACTAGAGAAGGAAGTGACACTTTCTTGTTGATGAGCTGCGCGAACCAATGGCTCTGCGCCTCCTGCGCGGGGAACACGCCCCCAAGCAGCTGCAGCAGCCCGATGAAGGCCAGCATCGGGTGCGGCAGGTGCGGCGGAAACACCTACTTGTACAGGCACACCTTGTTCTTCTCGGTCTTGTGCACTTCCTGGTCCAGGAATGGGAACGTCGCAGTTTGGGTCCCAGTCGTCCCGACATGATGCGGTCGTCGACGTGCGCGAGGGCAAAGGTAGCACGGCTGGAACGGCTGACCGCACACGGATGCGCTACCATGTGCACAGCCGTTGAATCGGACGTCGCGACCAACCCAGCAGCCTGGGTCGCAACTCCCGAGGTCCAGGGTCAGGCCACGGCTCCCGAGGACCACGCCCGGTAGGCCTCGCCCACGAACCGGCTCCCAGCCACTGCACCCAGGCAGGAGCCGTTCAGCAGGCGCCGTCCTTGCACCTTGTACAGGCAGACGGACTGGACCTCGACCGGACACACCGGAGCTCGACCTGTCCGACACGTACGGGTCCCAAGTCCGGCTCAGGAACGCTCCCAGGAACTCGTCCTCTCGAGTGGCGCACCGCTTCCTCTGCCTTCCTGGCCTCCACCCTCGAGCTCTTTTTCGCACGTTTCTCGGTACGGCTTGGCACCGCTGGCGATCCTCGATTCAGCCAGCAACTCCCCTGGCACCTGGATCCTCGATCACCCTGGACCTCGCCCGGCTCCGTGGTCCTCCGTGCACACGCCCGCGTCTCGCCCGGCAGAACGTCTCGCTCGTCCCTTGCCGATGTGCGACACTCTGGTGACACCGGCGCTTGATGGCATGGGTGCGACTACTGAGCAGTCCACCCGCATCGGAGACGCGACGCTTCATGCGAGGAATGGCCATCCCGTCCAGCGAAGAGCGTGCGCCGAGACGCGATGCTCGAAGCAACCGTGACCATTAGCCAGGCCACGTTCATCGCTGTGTCGAACGGCTGACCGTGGAGACGCCTCACCGAGATCCGCGATGCCCTCGGCAAGGAAGAGAACAGCAGGCCAGGCCGCGCCCCGAGATGCAGTACTCGTGCCGGCAATGCCGCCCCAGCTGGTGGTTGGACGGCAGCAGCGTGGACGGCCGCGTTCCCTGGCCGGAACCTGGCTCGCCTGCGTCCAACGCTTCAGCCCGCTGTCTCCCGTCTCCCGCTGCTTCGGCTCGTCCCCAGCCACAAAGCCCACTGCCACGTGATGGTCGCCCGTGGCCCAATCGTGGCACGCCACCTCTATGGGCCACCACAGGTCATCAGCTGATTCACTGACACTCACGCGCACATTACACGCGCCTTTTCCCGCACTTCCGTCGTTGTCATTTTCTTCACTCATCACAGGGGCACAAACTAAAAGTGTCCCAGCACTCCTTGAAGGCAACGGTTTTGCTGCATTCAAGAAATAGGAATAATAAAGACAAAACAACGTTAAAGCATTCTCAAACCGTACCTAATCGCTCAACATCCCACCACTCTGCGACGCATTTACTCAAGTTCCCTCCATGAAAGATGTGGGCGGCTTTATACTACTCAGTTTTTCAAATGCGAACGCAATTATTAGTCGGGCTATATCAAGCATTCGGCGTTGTCCCCGACGGCCGCGGCGGTGTCTGCGTGCCGACAGGTGTTAGCTCTCCCCTCTCACTCCCTCACCCATAGCTACATCTTCGAGGACACGCGCTTATCGACGCTCCTAGCAACCGGAGCATGTGGTGCGAGAGATCGTAGGAGAAAGTAGGGGCAGTCCTTCACCACTCCTTCTCCCGCCGTTCACTCCCTCTCCTTCCTGCGCCCACTTTCTCGTCCGATCACGCCTCAGTCTCGACTGCTCGCAGGCTGGGCGCATCGCAAGAAGACCCGGAAATATGTGCTCGAGACGCCTGTGTGAAACGCTAACACCTAGCCGAGAACGCTGTTTCTTTTGTTCATATCATAGCATTTTTCCCGAATTAAAATAGACGATTGGGCCAGTTAGTGATACATGATTTAAGTGTTTTATGCGGTAGAAAACACGGACGGGAAAAACACAAGGACAAGCGCAGACGATCAACTGAAGGTTTATTCATCCCGCATTGCATATACATATGATCACCATGAAGAAAGAGAAGAAAGAAAGGAAAAAGTAGCATCTGAAAAAAATTTGTGAGACATTATATACGCGAAGCACGAGGCAGAATATCAGATGAATCACTCGCATACGTCATTTGCTAGAAATTAAAGCTCCATATCCAGGAGTGCAACTGATGGTATGCTCACGCAGTTTCAGCTGCTTGAGCCATTCTCTCTTCTTCAACAATCATGTGCGTGTGATTATCTTTGCGTCTGTACAATAGAACTGTATTTTTAAACAGCGCATGGCAACTACGCCTGCTGACATGCTTAGCTAAGGAGGCCTCGTTGCCATTGTGAACATTGTGTGTGTGTTCGCGCAGGCGCTCGTTGAGGCACCTCGATCCCAGTCTGCCCAATGTAGCACGCACTACATGATAGCGGAACCCTGTACACTATATTCGTGACACATCGGACAAACTGGGCATTGGGCCTCACACTGCAGGAACGCTTAGGCCTAATGTTTGCAAATGTAAGTTTAGCGAGGGGGGAAAGTTGGTGCTGGGCTGAAAAAACAACCTGCACGCCTAGGTGTTGGCCGACTTTCTTTATCCGGTGCGACAACTGGAGCATGTGAGAGATTACCGCGACTTTGTCGCGTTTGCCTGTGTCCCTGCTATCAGCACTTTCTCCACTTCTAGACTTTTCCTTCTTTTTCATATTTTCTGCCACAGAAACAAGTGAACTCGGATAGCCAGTTTCTTTTAGATGATCCACTTGATTCTGGCAGCTTGTGTTCACCATATGAAAGCCGGATCTGTCTAGGGTGTTTGTGAAGCAAGAGTTCACTATGCCTCTCTTGACCTACTTACTGTGTGCCGATTTATTAAGCAAAAGCGGCTTCTTAGCCCTAGGCTCATTCATGCAGCATGCGTGGTTTGCGCTAAACACGAGTTTCAAATCTAAGAAGCGAATAGAATTGTTTGTTGGCACTTCGTATTCCAGGACAAGTGGACTTAAGTACTCACTAAAAGCAGCTAGTACATTTGATGAAAGCTCACTTATGCTGGCTGAGTCACACTTGAAAACTACCAGGTAGTTATCGACGAACCTGAAATCCTCACAACATGGTCACGGTTCAGACCTTCTTTCAAGTTCTTGTAGTATTTAGCTAGAAACAGATTGCTCAGAATCGGAGCAATCGAAGATCCTATGGACACACCACTGTTTTCATATGCAACACTACTCAATTCTACATAAGTATAGGTGCAATAGGCAGCTAGCAGATCAAGAAAACCGCTGACGCTAACTCCAGTTGCACTTTGGAAAGTTATGTCACCCAACTGAACGATACATTCTTCTCCCAATGAGTGCAAGGCATCACGAGGAAAAGAATTATACAAGTGTTGTATGTCTATGCATTTAAATTTAAGTGGGAGTACTCTTTGAAAAATTTC